TTTCAAAGAGATCTTGCTTTTCCACATTCACTGGGTTTTAGCTCCCCAGTCTACTAGTTGATATCACATCGGTGATGACATTAAGATATTCGAGTCAGAAAAGAAAATGCTTATGAACATATAGAGATGTGTTCAACTTCAAATCAAGGAAATGCAAAAATAACACAGCTATCATCACAAAGTATCATTTTCACATTCCAGTTGAGCCAAAGTTAAAAAGATTGATGACACTCAGCATTGGCAAGTACGGTGGAGAAATCAAATATTCACAGAAAAGATTGCTAGTCAGAGTGTTAACTGGTACAACCACAATCTTATGGACGGCAATTTAGCATTAAGTATCAGTAAAAATTTAAAACACACATCCCCTTTATTTTTTATTATTATTTTTTAATGGAGGTACTGAGGATCAAACCCAAGACCTCATGTATCCTAAACATGTGCTCTACCACTGAGCTATACCCATCCCCTTTCATGTAGCAGAGCTATTTCAAGGATTTTATCCTAAAGAAATGATCTGATAAATACGTAAAAATACATGTACAAAGGGGCCCATCACCGCCAAAAAAAAATTAGAAATAACAGAAGCGTGCAACATGAAAGATTTGCTTAATCTAGCATAGTCCATCCAAACACCATTTAAACGTTATGTGTAGCTATAAATATCAAAAAGGAAAAAATATCCATAATATATTTTAAGTGTAATGAAAAGGCCAGCTTTAAAAAAGAGTGTAAATGGAATGACTCCATTTTTTACTTTAAAAAAAATACTTATTTGTGGGTATGTGTGTGAATTCTTTTAAGAATAGATTGTGATTGATTTTATTTGATTTGATTTTGTTTCGGCATGGTGTGTAGTGCAAATAAATGGGTGCTATTCAAATACAATACCCTTATTGTATTTGGAAATGTGGCGGGGAGGGCAAAGAGAATAGTATGTTCTGTGGTGTGCTGATGTATTTTTAACAACTGGCCTTCAGGTGGGGCAGGTGGGAGTTCTGCGTAGCATCTACTGACTCTTATGGCGTAAATACTCCCAATATTGCTCATTTCAAGCTACTAATGTGACATCACTGAATGCAGAGTTAGGAAGAGATGTACAATAGCATATCATTATGTAGTGTTTCCATGATACGGATACAAGAGATACAGGTAATCACCAGTGTATCAATAATATTAAAATGTAGTAAAATATTACAAAGTGGTGAATTTTGTGTATGCAGTTTTTATAAATCTAGAAGGAGAGTCACCAATATAATAACATTGATCATGTCTAGGTAGGACGTTCACGAATCATATTTACTTCATTCTTTAAACCTTTATATGTCATTTCAATATTTTTACAATAAACATATTCTACCTTTATAATCAGAAAAATATTCAAGGTGTTTTTTTTTCCCTTTATTTGCTAAAATCTAGGAAAGAAAAAAAAAGGCAGGGAACACAACTTTTAAAACAAGTCTCGCTGGTACACTACACTTCCCCAAAAGGAGGGTGATTTCATTAGAGTGTAACTAAAGATAGTGATACTAAGGTTTGCATCAATTAAATCATATCTTTGTTCGGTCATGGTATAAGCAAGTGAGCACTTGATGTTTCTAAGGCCTTGCAAAGTATAAATATATAACAGCAGAATTCAAAGGAATTTGAGATTCCAACTCATTCCGACGCAAATAAGGAAACTGAGTCCCAAGATTGGTAGGTGTTTTCCAAAGTAAGCACTATGAGTCAGGTTATGAAGTAACTCAACTCCTCTCTGCTTATAAATGGCCTCTATAGCTTGTGAATAAACATATGTATTCCCTGGGGGTGGGGGTATGGCTCAGTGGTAGAACGTGTGCTTAGCATGCATGAGGTCCTGGGTTCAATTTCCTCCATTAAAAACAAAAAGTTAGTTACATAGGCAAATAAAAGTATCATTTTTTTAAAGTATAGATTCCTCACTTGTTATTATTTAATGAGAAGAGGTAACCTTATGGGGGGAGGTAATCTGTATTTAACTCATTAATTGCTGAAGCCCTGATTCCTCCTATCATTGTATAGATAATATCAGCTTACACTTCTCCAGAATTTTGCACTTCTTAAAGCACTACCACATAGACTGGTTTAGTTGATCCTCATAAGAGCCCTGTGAGACAGGTAAGGAAAAGACTACTCCCATTTTACAGATACAAAAACTGAGGCTACAGCAAGAGAGTGGCTAGCCCAGAGCTGGTGAGAGCCATGCCTCTGGTCCCATTACGGTGCTGTCTGGGAGTCAGTTTCCTCTGTGGGTCCTTTCTGAGGTATTCATCTGGATGAACCTTCTCTGAAGGTCACTGTCTCCTCTTTCCTGCCTTGTTCTTCTAACAAATCCTTTCTTTCATTGGCTCCTGTCTCATTTTTCACTTAAGGATATTACTTTCAGGTCACCTAGCATTGCTCTTCAGTTCCTGTTTTATTAATTCTAGAAGGGAAGACAGTCATAGGCATCATTAGGTCTGGAAATAATCCATTCTTCTTTATTTGACATGAGGACTAGACCCTGTTTTCTCTTGAAATTCGCAGTCATGTCTATCATCAAAGCAATGACCAGTGTATATTAGAAAATGAGGAACTGTATATACTTTGATGTGACACATTTCTAGATAATCTTAATTTTCTAAATGGGATTAATAGTGAGGTCAAAGGAAACATACTAAGTCAGGAACTAACAAATCATATATAAAAATGAATCCTGGGGAATCTAAGATCAGATGCTACTAAGCTTTGTTTTATTCAGGCAGGAAGTGTGTTCTTCTTTGAAGAGTGCAATGTCTTCTGGGAGAACCAAAAAAGGTATGAATGGGCTATGTCTGGGTCTAACAACCTAAACTAACCTATGTGGGGTCTCAGCTCCTGGTTATTGGCTGATGTAACCTTAGACAAGCAAATTCTCAGGGCATCAGTTTCCTCCTCTTTAAAGTGGGAATCCTGGCACTTACCCCACAAAGTGTAGCAAAAATTAAATTAGCTAGTGGCCAAGAAACTATTTCATAAACTAAAAATCACCATAAAAAATTTGTGGGGAACTATACTCAATAGTTTGTAATGGCCTGTAATGAAAAAGAGTGTGAAAAGGACTATATATGTAATTGAATCACTATGCTGTACACGAGAAATTGACACAACATTGTAAAGCAACTATACTCCAAGAAAATAAATAAATAAACATTAAAAAAAATAAGTGGCATACATTGAAGATATCTTGATAATTTTTGAAGTTTACTGCTCTGGGTGAAGGGAATGGAGAAATAAGTTTAAAAGGGACAGTGTTAGTCACAACAGCAGGCAGGTGGCCAGGTTCTCCAGGCAGAGCAGGAGGCAGAGCTCAAGAGTGCATATTAATTGCTGCACCTCCTCTGAGGCCACCAGCCAAATGACTCCTCTCCAGAAAACACAGTGTCCCTCCCCGTGTCAAAGGCCCTCTTCTAGCTGGGATTTCAGCTGCATGCAAAGCTAAGCTGACTCCCTGGTGGCTTGATTGGGTGGTGCTATTATGAAGACAAACTATTAACAAAATTGCTTCAGTCTAGTATGTAGGCTAAAGAAGGGACAGTGGTTACCCTGGTGCTAGGAACTAGCAAGTAGATGATTCTTCATGACTCGTGAATGACAAATTGTGGCAGAGCAGAAATAAGCAGACAGGAAACAGGTGTATTACCATCTGAGGATTTGATAGAGAATTTAAAAAACCATTAGACGGAAGGAGACTTGCCTTCTGGTGAAGAACATTCAAGATGAATATCAAATTTTCAACTTAACACAGAGAATTCTCTTAATGTAGAGAAAACACTCTGGAGAAATAAGGATGATCGCCAACATGGCTCAGAAGGTCATTTCTGGTGACACCTGTGTAGGGGCTAAAGTCATTTGGTGGTCAAATTGGAAAGAAGTAAGGAGATAGTTAAGAAAGCATGTAAGCTTGGGTGCCTTTTATTTTCCTATAATTTTTTTAGCTTTGATAGCAGAGGGATCTACTCTTGAAGGTCCAAAAAATGTTGTTGCTATAGGAACAGGTAAGCAGATTAGACCTGAAAGACCAGTTTAGGAACCAAGAATTTAATAGTCAGGGCTAAAGCAATTAACCAAGAAAACACTTTAAGTAAATATCTTTTGGGTTGGTTATTTATATATTAATTCTAGGAAGATAAAAATGCTGTTGGAGAATGAGAGCATCGCATTTTAACATTTTAATTACACCATTACTGGCATAAAAGACTATGCTTACACAATTAGCAGAACGGCCTTATTAAGAGAAAGTACACATTTCTAACTCTCTCTTGATTATATTGTAATTGAGAAATACAGCTTTAATTTCAGCAAGAGCATAGGAATCATCTTTGATTTTCCTGTAGTTTCCCAAATGGGAACACATCTAAAATACAAGAGCAAACTCCAGAAAGTTGTCTGTAAGCAATCGACACAGGGACTTACAAGTAACATTCTAGAAGTAAACAGAAAATGAGTGTAAGCTGATAATTGTTAATATTTCATATGTTTCCCCTGCCCAACAGTCTTTGTGAACACAGATATGTGAGCAGAGAAGGTCAGGACCCTGGCTGCCCTCCTGCTTCGCTGTAGCTGTTCCTCTTCCTCTAATCAGGGAATACGCTGCTCCCAGCATCAGGGATTTGCTGAAATTATTAGAAGTTTTGAACAGAACTTGCTATACTGGTGAGGCTCAAAAACAAATCATAAAGTGGCATTGTACACTTCTCCCTTTCGATTTTACTGAAAAAGAAAACATTCTCGATAAAATGAACACAGTATTCTCATCCTAGCAAACTTCTGCTGTCAGAGATTATATTTATGGGAAAGAGATGTCTTGAACATTACCTTTGCTCACGGCATACCAGAATCAAATCGCAAAGAAGCATGTGAGTGTGTGTCTGAGTATGTGTGTGTGTGTGTGAGAGAGAGACAGTGTTGGAGGTGAGGAGTGGGGATGGGGAAGAGGGGGGATGTGGCTGGAATCTTACCATCTCATTCTCTTCTCCTTCATTGAGCAAAGCTTGCTGGCCCTTCTCAAACTGGTCCCCCATGGAAAAGTAATTCCACTCCTCCCTGACCTTCCCAAGCAGAAGATGCGTCCAGGACGAACTTGAAATTGCCGAGCCACCACCCTTCGCCAGCTGACTGAAGGAGTTCAAGATTCTCCAGGTTAAACTCCTTCTGGAGTGCACACCTTCCCTCAGCAAATGACAGTACTTAAATACTTAGCAAGCCGAACTCCTCCCACGAGCCACCCTCTGCTCAGAGTAATTACTGCCGGCTCCTGACTTGCTGAATTCACCCTGAGCAGCTGTCCCAAAGGAGGCTGCTCCCATGCTGATCTTTTTGTGCCCAACTTACAGGGAAAGAACTCATTGCCTGCACAGTGCCTGCCAGCATAAGACATCTGACTGCAAATCCAGCAAGACAATGCAGAGTTGGCAGGACCTTTCCGAGAAGCGGGGAGCAGGCGCAAGGACTCCCAGTCACCACTTTATTCCCAGGGGCTACAGAATTGGGGTAGGAGGGAGGCTAACAGAGCTGCAGACTTTATTTGATTAATGAAAACCCTAATCCACCGGCGTGTAATAGGATTCTCATTCATTTTGCTTACAAAAGGTACAAATTATGGCTAATCCTCTTCAAAAGGTATTTGAAATCACATTTTTGTGTGTATGCAAAAACATTCCACTTAATATGAATGTGGTATTGAGTTTACTTTGTTAAGAAACTTATAGAAAAAGAACAAAGGTATAATCAAACTTCTGTGTAGTCTCCTCTCACTAAAATGTTAAGTGGCTAAACTCTCAAGGAAGTCTAGAAATAAAATAGTCAAGTGACTACACGGAAAGACTCATTCTGAAATTTTTTCACACATATATTCAATACACATTATTTGAGTGCAGGGACTACATATGTAAATCAATTCATATTTGCTACCCTCAGACTGCTGCAGAGATTTAAATATGCAAACAAATACGATAAAAAGCGGTTAGTTACTATGAGAACTGGAACAGAAGTCTAAGATAACTTTTAAAAGTCCCACTGTGATGGAGGGGAACACGCATCCATGTGGGCTCTAGAGAGAAAAAGAACCCCCCAGAATCCAGCTGTTCATCTGTGCCAGCCTCACTGGGTGATCAATTAAGCTGCAAGAGCTGGTTGTTCTCATTTGGTAATCGGAGGAATTGAAGGAAGACTTGGGAAAGCGTGTTATGCAGCACCAACCAAGGGCTGTTGGAGTAATCAAACTGAAGGTCCAGTTTAACAGCAGGCAGTAGAGTGCAGTGATTAAGGACATGTGCTCTGGATTTGGAGGTCCTGGGTTCAAATTTGTCTTTCCTAGTTATGTTACCTTGGGATAACAAGTTTCATAAGCTCCAGAAGGTTCTATCTGCTCACGTGTAAAATAAAGATGATGATAATAGAACTTACCTCCTAGAACTGTTGTTACGGGGGGTAAGTCCCCGGGAAACAGGGTCTGTTCTGGAAAGGAGAGTTGTGTTTACCTTCAGTGTGTCCACTCACTCTCTTTAAACTTTGCATACCTGTTGGTGCTGGCATCGCTAATCTGACATGAAAGGCTCTAACAAGACCAAGACTGCAGTGGATGTATGTATAAAACATTAAGCAAACAGTAAAGTATAAATGAGATAAACATAAAAAGGTAAGCTATTGTGGGAGAGGGTATCGCTCAGTGCTAGAGCACATGCTTAGCATGCACGAAGTTCTGGGTTCAATCCCCAGTACCTCTGTTAAAAAAAATTTAAAACAAACATAATTACTTCCCCCCCACAAAACAAAACAAAGCAAAACAAAAGGTAAGCTATTATGATATTAATTTACACATATACTCATCCATCCATACATGTAGTTCTCTGAATTTCCAAAAATTATGAGCACAAGTTAACCAAATAAAACATTTTATCACAATATCAAAATATGAGGAATATGGGATTTCTTTTTAGGGAAATGAAAATGTCCTGGAGTTAGATAGTGGTTAGGGGAGAACAACTTGGTGAATATACTAAAACTCGCTGAATTGTTTACCTTTTAAAGGGTGGATCTTATGAATGTGAATTATATCTCAATAAAAACTCATATCAAAAAATAAGTGAACATTTTAAGAGTTCTAGCAGGCAATCATTTAATTATTTAAGAGGGAAAATAATAAAATAAGATTTTAAATGTTATCTGGAATGATGGGGGTTGAGCAACATTCATACGTGAAGTGGTAAAACTATGCCAGTGCTAGTGGGCAGGTGACAAGGAAGCGTTTCATTCTATTGTCTACAGCTGGCGATCCTTGCACTGTTTCCTTCCGGCTGGGTTCCTGAACACACTTGACAATCCATGCACCACTGTGGGGGTTAAGATGAGTGTGTAACTGACTAAGAGTTTTACAGGAAAACTGCGCACGAACGTACCTCATAAAACAGATCTGGTTATGCCCTAACAATTTTAAAGCCAAATTGGAATAGCAAAATAAGTCCCTAAGAACCTAAAAGACTTTTGTGAAAACCAGGAGGCCCTAGAAAACCATTTCGACAACATAGCCCAGGAAAGCTGAGAACTTTGAAGTAACGAGTTTCCTCACATCCCTCAAGACGTTCTCATGGTGCAATGTGCGAGCGCCTCTGCAGCCACGTGACTTATGCGCAGCACTCTCCCTGATTTAGCACCGTTGGTCCGCCAGCATGAGTATCTCCAGAAATAGTACTAGGTTACACAGAAAAGGAAACGGGATGTTTACGAAACACTTCCATCCGTCAGGCGCTATCCTAAGCATTTTATACACACCACTCACAATCCTCACCAGGGCCTCTATAGTCAGTACTGTTATGGTCTCGCCCACTGAGCAGACACAGGCACAGAAGTACTTAGTGAAGAGTGGGCGTTTGGACAAGGCAATGCTGCTCTCCCAATCTGTAGTCCTAATTGTTAGGCGAACGGCTTCTGCAGGTTTATTTGGCATATCCAGAGTGCTCTGTGAGGGATGTTGCATGTATATGACCAGGAGAGCCTCTTTGTGGAGGAAACATTTGGGAAGGGCCTTCAAAGCAGACAGGAAAGTCTTCATAGGTGGAGTTGCTGGGCCCTAGACCGAGAGTGGAGCCATAGGAAAGAGCATTTGAGGCAAGAGAGCCGCCAAAAGAAGAAACGCGCAGACTTGTCCAAAGTCCTTCCTTTTTGCTGCAGCTGGGGTGGGTTGAAGGAAGGAAAAGGGAGCGAGAGATGGCAGACAAGAGAGATCAAGGCCATTATATGGAAGTCTTGAATTTGAAGCTTGAGTCTGGGCTCAGTACAACAAGTAATGATGTCAGTGAAGGCAAACTGATATCATAAGTATGAATATTTTTCTTGATCAGCTTATGCTTAAATATTGTAGAAATCATTGCCTAAGCAGGTTCTAAAGTAATTCAGTCTTTGTAGACAATATTATGTGTAAATGGACAATTTCCTTGAACCCTCTAAGTTAAATCTCCTATTTCCTTTTAGAACATTGTTTGAAAGTTATTATTTATTAAATAAATTTTAATATAAAATAAATTTTAATAGACTTTATTTTTTGGAGCAGTTTTTGGTTCACACCAAAACTGAGCAAAAGGTACGGAGATTTTCCTCTGCAAATACACATCCTACCCCACGTTAGCATCCCCCATCCAAATGATACATTTGTTATAATCATTGACACATCATTTTTGCTCAAAGTCCATGGTTTACATTAGAGTCCACTTTTGGTGTTACATATTCTATGGGTTTTAACAAATGTATAATGACATGTATCCTCCATTATAGTATTGTAGATATTAGTTTCACTGCCCTAAGAATTCTCTCTGCTTCCTCTGTCCATCCCTAACTCTCCCATGAGCCCTGACAACCACTGAATATCTCCATAGTTCTGCCTTTTAGAATGTTAAGTAGTTGGAATCACACAATGTGTTGCCTTTTCAGATTGACTTCTTTCACTTGGTAAGTTGCATTTAAGTTTCCTCCATGTCTTTTCCTGGCTTGATAGCTCAGTGCTTTTTAGAGCTCAAATATTCCATTGCCTGAATGTACCACAGTTTATTTACCCATTCACCTACTGAAGGACATATTGATTGCTTCCAAGTTTTGGCCATTATGAAAAAGATGGCTGTAAACATACATGTCCTGATTTTGTTCAGACATATGTTTAGGAACCAAGAATTTAATAGTCAAGGAAGGCTCAAGCAATTAACCAAGAAAACATTTTAAGTAAATATCTTTTGGTTTTGTTATTTATAATCAACTCATTTCATTATGTCATTAGGGAACTTCAAATTAAAACAACAATGAGGTGGAAGGTAAATAGCTCAGTGGTAGAGTGCATGCTTAGCAGGCATGAGGTCCTGGGTTCAATCCCCAGCATCACCATTAAAAATAAATAAATAAATAAAAACCTAATTACTTCCCCCAACCAAAAGAAAAGAAAGAAAGAAAGGAAAAAGAAAACAACAATGAGATATCACTATCTACCTATATAAAATGGCCAAAATCTGAAACACTGACAACACCAAATACCAGCAAGGATGTGAAGCAACAGGAACTCTCCCTGCTGATGGGAGTGCAAAAGGGTATAGTCACTTTGGAAGACAGTTCAGGAGTTTCTCATAAAACTAAACATTCAGCAACTGTGCTCCTTGGAATTTACCGAAAAGAGTTAAAAGTTTATTATTTAAATCAGTCTCTCTTGCCCTTACTTTGGCCTGTTTGAAATTTCTATTCTGCACTCTGTGTGCCCCACAGGGTATGACATGGCACAGCGAGAGAAGCAGGTGTGGATTTGGTGTGCTCCGATCTCAAATCTTCACATTTTGTGGACAGAATTCATTCGTTCACTCATTTATTTAGCACTTACTGGATTACCTTCAGTGTGCCATGACCTGTACTAGACAAAGAATGTAGATTAATAAAATACCTCCTGGAAGAGCTAAGTCTATTAGGAAACGAGACAAACACCAAAATATGAATTCCAAAACAAGTGCCAATCACAGAGGCATGGCAGAGGGAGCTCAAGCAGGGAGTTAGGCCAGGAAGGCTTCATGGAGGTGGGGAGCTCTATGCTGGCCTAGATAAATGGAAATGAATAGAGAAAATATTATTGACAAAGAAGACTGAAAGCAAAGGCCCAGTGGAGGACCTGCACATGAGCCAATTCTGGGGATTCCAAATGATACACTATATTGATAACTTAGAATTGGGAGGAATGCCCAAGGGGAAAAGTTGCTTCAGCCTTTCCCTGATTCTCTCTCCGCACTCATTTCCTCTCAAGTGCTCCATCTTAAACAAGAACGGAAAGGGAAAAAA